AATGGCCAACATTTGGGGTCCTTGTCTTGTAGTCTGGAACAACAGAAAATTCCAGAATGGATAAAACAAGAGTTATCCAGACAGTTTTGGCCTTTGGGGTGGAGTGGACAGCTGCTGTATGGAGAGGAGGGAAAAAAAAAACCAAAAAGAGCACATGCAGTCCCTCTGCCAATTCTGAGATTAAAAGTGTAATAATAACCCACGAAAGAGATGAAGAACTAAGGGTATTTAATGCAGCCTTCCCCATCCCTTGTTCCGATACCTGCAGTCTGGACATTCTCTCCTCTCCACCATAGCTGCAAACATACCAAGTAGCTTTTCCTTCCTCTTTCACATTGCTCGGACACCAACTGGAGAAATGACCACCACAGCCTGCCTGCTCTCAGCCAGAGCCTGAACAGCCTCACCTCCCAGAGGGAACACGGGGGAAGCTGGCTGAGGCAGAGACCACACAGCCCGCTCAGCACACAAAGCTTCGGGGAACTGGAGCACCCTCACTGCACATGGAGTTTTCAGGGGAACGGTTTCGCTGAAGGTGCTCAACAACTTTTTCAGGCATGTGCAAACAGACTGTTTACAGGCCTGTAAATCACTCACCTCCAGGCAGATTTTCTCAGGAATGGCACAAGGTATAACCTACACGGGCTGACTCTCCTGCCAAACCTAAGTTCCACCTCCAAAGCAAAAAAGGTATGAAGATGTGTCAGAAAACAGCTGTAAAAATAGTTTAACGTGGACAAAACATTGTTGGGGTTTTCTTCCTTAGCACAACAACAGATGAGCTAGTCAGGCTGTATTTTACGAGGAAAGTTTCAGCTGATGGTAAGAAATATAGCCTGGGAAATAAGAGTCCAAAGGGTTAATGTCCAAGAAAGCTACAAGCAACTAACACAGCTTTATAGTGGGAAGAGAAGTGGAACAGCCATGGCTACAAACTCCCCATATAATTATAGCCTGACTCTTGCCCTGCCTCCCAGAAGAAGCTGTGCTTGCTTAGTCCAATCCTAATTTTGGGAAATAAGAACGGACTTCAAACAGCAATTACTCTATTAGACACCACCTTTCACAACGCTGCTCTGAAAAACATCTGCATTATATTTTTCAGCATGTTCTTATATCAGGTCTTCCACGCCCTGATCCTCTACTGAACAGCGTAATCACAGCAGGTATCTACCTACCACCACGATGGAGAACATTGCCGCAGCTTTTATGTTAAAGATGACACACAGGATCAATTAAATAAGTTGTCTACAGCAAAAGTAAACAGCGCGTTTGGAAAAAGGCTGTGTAAGGAAAACAGTTATGACACCGCTCCCTCCCAGACCTGCACTCTCATGCTCTTGCACACGTTTATTATTTATCCACACGCTGACAGAGGATTTTCTCTCACCCTTGCTCCCCCACACAACAGGGGGGAAAAAAAAAAAAAAGTGATGCTCGCAGCAATGTGACTTACAGCACAACATGCTGCATCCTCTGGCAAAAAAACCCTCCTGAAGAGTTCGTAACACCAACGCTGCCCCAGGCAGAGACAGATCCCCAGGGTAATGAGAGGCATCTTGAAGACAATCTAGCCAGGCTCTTGCAAGCACATCCCAGAACAGAAAAAGGGTGTGGCAGTGTAAGTCTGGTCACAGACAACCTCTTCTGACAGCCAGCACACTCCTGTCAGATATCCTCAAAAATAATCATTTCCTACCAGTCACCAGACCAGCAATATCTGTGCTGATCTTAAACCTTACCTTGAACTTTGAAATTAACCTGGTCATGTAAGTCTAACACCTAAATATTGCATTGCTCTACCAGGCAACAGCAGCAAGTGCAAAGTAGCAAATGCAAAGAGATTGCTCTGCTTCTGTCCACGTTATAAGGAGGAAAAACGTGTAAAAATGGTGAACATAGGATCCCAGGCATTGTACAAGACCAGCCCTCAGCATTCCCTTGAGTCAAACAAACAAGCAATACAAACAGTAAGTTTATTACACTTACAATGTAGACAGCGGTACGAGATTCATCCCCTAATGTCACTGCACGTCTTCATAATAACTACTGTGATTGCTGCTGCTCAAGTATCTAGAAAACTGTTAAAATTAAGTGTCGCAACCGGATTAACTGCATAGCTATCTACTGATGCTTGTCTGCTCCAAAACGGTCTTCACCTTCCATGAAAGGACACACGCAGGTGCACTGTACTTCGTGAGCTCTAAGCAAGATGCATTTGCTACGTGCTGCATGAAGTTCCCATGTAGCAGAAACATCGCACTGCTTGCCACAGTGCTCCTACTCATCTTACATGCCTGTAATCAGCGTAGAAAAGGCCTGGCGTAAGTTTTTCCCAAATTGAAAATGAAAAGTTTCAAGGAAACGTAGAACACATCAGTCAATGCCAGACACACAGTTCACAGGGCCCGTTTCTCATGCAGTTTGTAACACTGTCGTGAGCATGGGACAGCCACGCTTAGTATCAGCTGAAACACGAGTGACAGGGATAATGCTTTGAAGTCTTTTTAAAGTTCAGAGCACTTTGCAAACAAAGCTGAATTAACGCTCATCGCAGCCCGGTGAGGTAGGTGCCGTTAGCTGTGTTCTGCACGTGGGAAAGCAGCCATGCCCCATGTGGCACGGTTGACTTTACCCTTGGCCACAAGAGCGATTACTGACCAAACTAGGACTACAAGGGGACTTTCCCGGTTCCAGCCCTATCCTATAGCAAGTTCACTTCCCCCCCCCATACCCGTTTTTGAAGCACACCTAGTTCTGAAAGATAAAAGAACTGTGGCAGCGCGGTAAGCACAGTACGGCACCCCCGCCCCGGCGGGAGCACCCCAGCGTGCATTGGCAGCAGCCCCCG